AAATAGCTAAGCTGTAGGTAGAAATCATGGGTATAAAACCTGTATACTCTATTTTAAATAATAAAGTTGTGACATAACTACTTGGAAAAAAAAAATTAGCCAATATCATAATTTTTCTAAGGTAAACACCTATTATATTACTAATAAAAAATATTCCTCTTGTATTTTACCCTAACCCAAACCCTAATTTGAACTCTAACTCTAATTATAACTTTTATTTTATCTTAACAATTTATTTATTTGATTATTAAATATAACATTATATTTATTAAATTTTAGATAACTATTAGATAAATTTTATTTATAATTATATTTATGTATGAATTATAACTATGTAAGTCTACATTAGGCTTATAGATCTATGTATAATTTTTAAATATAATTTTGGTAAAGCTTCTATATAGCTTTATATATAAATGTACTTGCTGATGTGTTGTTAAATTGTTTAGGATTATCTTTATTATTAGAACTTTAAGTCATAGGGCTTAGAGTGTTTTTAATTATTTAGAGATCGATATTATCATCAAATATATTTTTATTAAAAGTCAACTAAGCTGATTTCTCCCAAAAACCGATTTAAGTCGACTAAGCTGACTAACTCTTATTGGCTTATAACTAGGGTAATGCTACAAAAGTTACAATTTTACAATACATGTAATTTAAGTTAGATTTCATATTACGCGTATGCATCTTGCATAGTGAGGCCTAAAGACCTGTCACAGAGCAACTTACCAGTAGTCCTATAAAGTTATTGTATGATCTCACATCCCGGTATTAGATATTCACACTAGTTTCACTTCACACTACAATAAAATACTAAGATTTTATGGCCCAGGTCAATGATGCAGCACTAATCAATTACAGGTTATATCGGGTGCGCGTTAATTCGGGACGCGTGTGGGCGCTAATTCGAGACACTATATGCTATTTGGGGGTGTCCGGATTTCAAAATAACGCCCATGCCCGTTATTTCGCGCTTATACGGTAATAATAATATCAATATTGGAAATTTAAAAATGTATAAATGGTTTCTTGGAAAGTTACATAGTAAATTCGTAAATTTTGATCTTGGAAATTTAATAAAAGTCAAATTCCAAAAATCCTGCTAAATTAATATAAATCAACCGCTTTAAAAAGTGTTGCAGTCTTATCGTTATAACACTAATGCTAAGCCTAGTAAACAAAACATGGCTTGGAAACGTAACAACTTTAAAGTGAACAAATGCCAAGTCACGTGCTACTAATTACCCAATCAGACAAATTAATAAATTTAATATTTGTGTACAATAACAATTAGATAAGGCAATAAATAAATAAAAATAATAAAGCAGGTAATTAAAAAGGTCTTCAATTTATTTTATTTTGTTTTTTGTTATAGCCTTAAACATGTGAATGATTGTTGACTTTTGCACATAAAATTTTCAATTTAACTAATAATCGATGTGATCTCCCAATGTTTGCATTTAAGAGAAAACCAAGCCTTGGGCTTTCGAATATAACTTAATGATCTCTTCACTTGAAAAGTCTGATCAAATGATGCGTAATAAATCTAATACATAACATTTATCAGAGTTATTTCATTTACAATGGAATCTACGCAACCTGTAGAGTTGAATGCGCTAATAATTTTATACTTCTGTACTTTCTGAGTTGAGCATAATTAGTAAAAATTATTAAAGATATGTGACAGCTAAACGTGACTAGTTTTAGTAATAGATCGGTCTTTGAAATGACCAAGTTTAGATGATAATGAGCCAATGGCCTAATAATTTTTGGACCTTGATACCATAATAATGATCGGGCCGGCTCTGACCCAAGATTTTTTCATCGGCCCGTATCATTATATTATAACAGCCCGATTCGGGTCCTAATGGATAAAAGCCAGTACAGCAGTAAAATTTATTTTCATTTTTTCAATAATGAGCGGCAATGAAATTTTTTGTTTTCATGTTTCAGATACAAAAGGACATTTAATTAATAAAGTTTCTATAACTAATAAAGTTCTAATATTTTTATGAAATAAGTATCAAAGTTTCAAATTTTAACAATAAATTGTTAAAACTTTATATATATATGTATAATAAGCATTCTCCATATCATATTTTTATTCATTTAGTCAAAACATAAATTAATAAAAACTTGCTTGTTAATAATTAAAAAACTATTACAATTACTATTATAATTTTTTATAACAATAGTTTATCTTTGTTAAATAGTCCGCTTGAAAATAGAGAAAATTTGCTGTTAAAGATTTTTAGGTACAGTATTTCTGTGAGTGTATATCAATATGTATGTTGTACACGGATTGGAATAATCCCAATTCAGAATCGTGACTAGTGATGCGGGCTGACCGGCCTATCGATTGGGCGGGCGGGCTAAGAGTCGACCCACACCTTCACGCAGTGTTGGGCTGGACATTGGACCACACTTGTCCAGTTCAGTCCAATCCATTGGATCAAAACGTATTGGACAATAATATATAAATCATCATATAATCATTATTGGACATATTGGACTGGACATATGTTCAAGTCCAATTTCCAGTCCAGTCCAATAGCATTAAAACAGTTGGGCATATGTCCAGTGCCAACACTGCCTTCACGGGCCGTTGCCGACTAAGATAAGATTAGGATTGTAAATGGTAAGCTATCATCACAGTAAGTTAACGAAAAAATTGATGTACCTTACCAAAACTTTCGGCTAAGTTTTTGAATTGATTGGAATTAATCATAGATTCAGCTAAGGCCACGCGAAGTTGATTTTTCGTTTTACAAAAAAATTTTTTTTAAGCCCAATTGTGCTAATTATTCTATTTTCTCCATTTAATTTTTTAATCCGGTATCACCCGGCGACCTTATTTTCCGAAATTATCTGATAGGGCTGATAAAAAAAAGTAACAAAGTGATGGCGCAAAAATTTGACAGTCCCGTGATTTTTACCCAATCCGATTGCAAGATCAATGTGCAACATACAAATTTAAAAAAAAAATTACGAAAAAAAACAAGAAATCATAAATTTTCTATGAAACCTAGCTTTTTGTTATTAAATAAAAGTTTTCAGCACAAAAATTTAGATATATCTTTTCTATCTTATTAGCGCAAATATTAATATTTAGATGAAAATTAGATTACATCGATGTTGGACTAGTCACAGGACTGCTAATTTTTTGCGCCATTACTTTGCTAGCCATAAAAAAATTCGACTACAAACCCAATTTTCTGATTCCATGTAATGCAAAGCGAAAAATTAACTTTGCATGGTATTAAATGCGAACATGAGTCTATTAATTTACTGTAGATTAAAAAAAATACCGATCGACCGACGGGATTTTGAAATCCGTGTACAGTTATGCAACTTAATTTCGCATTAACCTAATCAGGTGAACATGATGTTTTTTTAGACCGGTAAGCTATTGAGATTATGAATATTTACATTAAACTGTATCTTAATTAAACTATTCGTTATTGTATTATATAAGTACTATATATCATATAAAGGCAACGGAGCTGGGTTAGGGAAGTGTCAGATATCAGCTGATATTGTAGGGTAGGAAGGAGGTAGACAAAATCTCAGGTCTAAATATATAAATATAACCAATCAAAATGACCAAATTTCTCGGGAGGGGAGAGGAGTGAGCTCTATGTTAAACTAATCTCAGTTAATATCTGACACGTTCCTTAGGCCGTTCAAAATGTTAACATCGCCCCCCTCTTGGTTAACTGTTCCCCTTGAAATTGAACAAGCCAATCACAACACAGCAAAGAATTCGTTAATCACGGGATCATATTGACCAATCAAATTTAATCAAAATTTCTTGTGCATATGTGCTTATTTAAATTTTCCCTTCCCCACTCATGTCTGAACCCAAAATGTTGACGTTAACCAACCAACCAACTTTGAACAGCCTTAATATTAAGCAAAACCAGTCAACCCAATATATGTCTGATAACGGCATTACGGCACATGCCGTAACCCGTATTATTACGGTTTGCATAATTTTTTGACCCCCTATGATTAATTTTTTTATTAAATGACTGTGATTGCGATCGCGATTGCTAAAGCTACCCAATTCATCATGAACCAGAGTTTGTGTCAAGCTCAGATTTATGATAAATTGGCCGGCTTTGGCAATTGTGATCGCAATCACAATCATTTAATCATAAAAATAATAATAATAATTAATCATAGGTATTATGCAAAAATATGCAAACCACAATAATTTACCAAATTAATTCTACCGCCTAACACTAATTATAACCCTAAAGTTCTAATCCTGACAGATTCTGATATGTTTAAAGACTTTAAATTAATAAAAATGAGTTAAATCTTATTAGTAGAAAAACAAATATAAAGATTTTTAAAGGATATAGCTATGTTTATAATGTTTGCTAAATGATGTTCTTTTGATCAAATTGGCGGATCTCTGCACACTCATACAACCACCTGAATGTGTCCGATTGCGTGTTTGTAAAGTGTGTTTTTTCCGAAGATTCAATATAGATCTATTATTTTCAGAAAATTTTTCGGTCATATCTATGCTCACTAAAAAATCATTATATAATCGCGCAACCGGATAACAATCAGGTGATTGTTCAACGATCTGCAAAATTTGATCAAAGTACTGTACAGTACATCATTTTACAAACCGCGATAAATTGACTATATGATTACAACTTGGTTATCAGCCAATGGGTATCATAGTGTATTATAAACACTGTATTATTAACAAATAATCTATAGATCATGCGTAGACTCAATTGTGAAAACATATAACCCATGGGGCTTGCTATAAACTTGAAAGCCCCAAACCCAGTTTTCCCTTGGCAGTATTCATGGCTTGTATAACGCGAAAAGGATATCGTAAGGCTTTAATAGTATAGATTAAATGGTTTATTTTTATTACAAAAACATCAGTAAAAAAAGTAAATGCATTAATTTTTTAAAATTGTACTCTTCGTCCAAATTAAATTTTGCTTGGTTTTTTTTTTTTTTAAAAAAAAATGTCTATTAATCAAGAGATTTTATTACAAAGAGAAAATGAATTTTTAATGATAAAAATAAAAGAAGAATTAGACGCATGGAGAAAGAATAACTATGAATCTTCCAAGCATACAGTTATTTCAATTGTTATTTCTTCACTTGCTCTTATATTTGGTGTTTTCCTTTTCATTACCGAGAAAAGTAATTTCGGCCAAGAATTTAAGAATATTCTTTCTACATCTGTAATTGGAGCAGGAGGGTCGTTGACTCTTATTGGGAGCTTGGCAAGTCTTAAAAATCTTTTTAAAAAAGTTAATGAAAATGCGGAAGAGTTTAAAATTACTATGGAAACTTTTAAAGGTTTATATCAAAATGCTGATACTAAACAAGAAAGTCCTATTATCGAAGTTCTTGTAGGATTAGAAGAGTACTATAAAGATCAAAAAAAAATATATAAGTTTTTAGAAGAATTAAATAGTCATATGCAAGATATGTTGATTTGTCGCAGCATAACTGTTACTATTACATCATTAATTTTTCTCATGTTAGCAATAATTTCTATTTTTTATTTATTTATCAATTGTGATGATTATATATTTGTAATAATTGACATTTTACTCATATCCTTTTCATCACTTTTTTTATATAATTCTATTTGTGTTATGATTTGTATTCAACTAATTATTCCAAACGTGACGGAAGGAATGTTTTCAAAAAGGAGAGAGAAAGAAAAAATGAGGAAAGAAGAAAAGGAGAAAGAAGAAAAGATCAAAGAAGAGATATCTGAAAATTCGACAGAATTTAAGGTGGAAGAAGGATTAGAAAAGGATAATTTAGAAAATGAAAAACCCAAATTTGAGGAATATAAATCAAAAGTATCTTTATACAAACTTATTAGATTTTTATATAAAAAATTTAAAGAAGAAAAAGGCTCTTTTTTAAAACTAATCAAGCTTTTAGAATTGATTCTATTTATTTTATTTCTATTTTGTTTTTTTATACTTGGTTTGGTATCATTAAATTTGGAATTTAAAAGAATTAGTATGGGATGTTCTGAATTAGAAGGAATCAATCGTGTTCTCTATGGATTACCGTTAAGAGAATTAGAAATTAAACGAAATTAAGCACAAAAGTGAATTGAGGCAAAAGAAAAAAAAATAGTACAAGATCAAACTAAGGCGAAGCAAAGTGAATTTCCTGATTTTCATATCCTGGCCGGATCAATTTTTTCAATTCAAAATCTAAAATTTTTCATTTAATATATTAAATATAAACTTTTATAAAATTATACCTATACACAATAACAGGAAATATTTAAATAAAGTTTATAGAATTTTGTTAAAAGTACACTGTGCATTCAGTGCACTCTTGCTATCTCAAAATTTTACTAAGATACCTCATTTGTGTAACTAACAAAAATCTCACGATTTTACCCTAACCCAACCCTAACCACAACCCTAGCCCTAATATCTATCTTAGTCCTAATATTATCTTATTTGACTGCTATTAACATAGGGTGCACTTTTTAGTTAAATTCAAGTTTTTATATATATAATTTAGAAAAAAAGCCGTGTGGCCGTGTCTGTTCAGAAGTGTAATAATACGGAACCAGAAAATCAATTTTGTATGGCCTAACTTATGTGCATATTTTTTTTAAAAAAAACAACTCTTATTAATATAAAATTTAACATCTATAATTATCACACTTTTCTATAAGCATAATTTTATGAATTCCAAAATTGTGGTTATAGAGGTTTGATGTATAGAATTGATTAATTTATCCGCATCAAATTCGTGAACATAAATAATTGAATATTGAGATTTTAGAAAATGAATTGAGTACAGAATAAGTGGTGCTCTTGAGTTTACAATGTGGTTGAGATTCTTTTAAGTCTGGATAATTCTCTGGATTGGATTCTGTCAAAAGTTATAAGTGCATGAGAAGCTTTATATGTACAATCATTATCACGCATAAGTAATGTAAAATGTAGTACAAGAATCAATATATGCTCATGTATCTTGTTATTAGAGTATGACACCAGTCATCTAAATGCAAGAATTTATTTGTACAGTATAACCTCGATATAACGAACCTCAATAAGCCGAAAGCGCTATTATAACGAATATTTTTTTCAGCTAGAATTTTATAGTTTAAAATTACCTCAATATAACGAATTTTAATTATAA